ACCCCCCTCAGTCCAACCCGCGGGAGGCCAAGGGCCAGGCAGGGGTTACAGCCAAACAGACAGGTAAGAAAATACTTCTGGTATTTCTCACAAACAGCATTTAGAAACCACAGTTTTTTTACAGCTCCCCATAAAAAATGATGGGTTTGGGCACAGGTGTTGCACTAGTAGAAACGCTTGTTCCGTTCCTGGCGTTTCTGGAAGACCACGGCTCCCACCACGGCGCAGACAATGATGCCCAGCAGCGCACAGAGCAGGAGCAGGAACACCTTCCAGCCCGTCAGCGGCCCGCTCCGGAAATTCCCCGTCGGGTCATCCACGTTGTCTGCAAGGGAAAGAACAGCTACAGAGACCAACACCACCTCTGCTCCTGCGGAGTTTTGCCAGGTGTCACGCCTTCAGTGCCTTCCAGAGTCCAGCCCCGACATCCCAATCCCCCACGGAAGGTTTCCACAGCCCACAGGCTCACCTTTGGGGGATTTAAGGAGGCTGACCCGCGGCTCGATCTTAGTCCAGTCAACAGTCTCATCTTCTAGAGGGTGCTCCACCATGAGCTGGAACAGCTTCATCGAGATAATGTCATGATTGTCTGGGGAGCAACCATGAGCACCAAACACCATCAGAAGCTCTGAGATGTCCACACACTCAAGAGCACCCCTCAGACCGTTCTCTGCCAGGTCCAGTCTCCTTCCCTCCCAAGCCACCCTCATCCCCAGGTATCAAACTGCAATCCAAAGATGTTCCTTAGCTCTCAGGTGCCTTCTTTCCCCAGGCACGAGTCCCAAGAGGGTTTCAAGAGCCCGGTGAACAATTCAGAGAAAGGAAGAAATGGAAACTATCCAGTGCATCCAGTGTTACAAATCACAGAATCACAGTTTTTTTAGGGTTGGAAGGGACCTCTGGAAATCCAACTCCCCTGCCAAGACAGGGTCACCTAACCCAGGCTCCACACCTGTGTTCCCCTGAACAAAGCCCCTCTCACCAGAGAGATCTCCAGTGCCAGCAGAAGCACCGAAGAAGTACCCAGTTGGCAGCTGCACCCCTGCGATGTCGATGCAGTTCTTCCATTCGTTCTTGTCTTCCACATCAGTCATCACCTGCAAAACCAGGAGAGGGTCACACCAGGAATGTTCAGAATCAAGGGACAGGGTCCATCCTCCCTGCTCAAGCAGGGCCATACAAATCACATAGATTATGTCCAATATCCATCAGTATCCCCAGTGAGGGACACTCCACACTCTCTCCAATCACTTTTGGCACACCACTATCCTGCCTGGCTGCACCTCTGGGTAAGAGGTGCCAGAGAGGCAGTGGCTGAGCCTGGAACACCATCTCCAGCTGCTGGCAGAGCCAGCCCTGCCCCGCCGTGGCTCTCACCGTGAGGCGGCCGCGGGAGTAGCGCACGGCCAGGAAGGTGTCGTGGTTCTGGTTGCGCAGGTCAGCCGAGCACCCGGCCAGCTCCGTCCCGCGCCCGTCCTTGCTGTGCTCGTAGGTCAGGGAGCCATTGTTGACCATGGCTGAGATGTAGGGGAACACGCGCTGTGGGGACAGACAGAGGCTGTGGGAGCTCCTGGGGTGGGAGCAGGGCACGGCAGCAGGGCCGTGCTCAGGATGTGCACGGCTGCTGCTCCACCTAAAGCTGCTTCTGATCCAAGCCAGAGCTGCCTAAAGCAGAGCCACCTTTCTGACCTCCCATTTCAAGACCCCTGTGGATGTGACAGCCTGGTCAGAGAGCAAGAAAACTAGGTAAGTTTTCCCAGAATCGGCCTGGGAGACTTTAGGGAGCTGGAGATAAACAACGATAGCCAATTATTAAAAACAACCTGCAGGTGTTGTTTTGCTAATATCTGTTTTCTTGTTATTCTCATAAGATTGGCTAATTAACAAGATGCCTGTTTATAAACGATCAAGTGAAATGCATTGATTAGATGACCAATCAGGTTCCCCTGTGTCACAGCACTGTGTAAAAGAAGCGGTTTGGAACAAAGACACACGCTAATGCCACTCAGCCTTCTGACTGGCTTCTTGTCATTTCTTACTGAACAGTGACAAAACCCCCATCCTGTGATTCTGTGAATGGCCAGGGCAGCCAGACTGTCCCACACTTGCAGAGTGGCTGGGTAAAAATCCCAGAACCATTTAGGTTGGAAAAGACCTCCGAGAGCATTCAGTCCAACCTGTGACCAACCCCCACGCTGTCAGCTAGCTCTGACTGCCACATCCAGTCGTTCCTTGAACACAAGAAGTGTAAGAAGAGAGCACAAGACCCAGAACGGACAGAAATCTACATAAGAAGCAAAACCACACACAAGGTTTTGTGATCAGTGAATTATCTGCACCAGGAGAGGACAACTGGAGGCAGGAATTCACCTCCCATGAGCATCAAGACAACAGGGAGATGGGTCATTTCCAGGTGCTTTATGACTTAAGTGTCATGGTTTTGATGGTACAGACCCCAAAGCACAGCTTTGTTTTCTGACTGTGCCATAATGAGATCCACAAACACAGAGCAGGACAGAAGAAAAGGACCCCCAGGCCTCTCAGGAGTGATTTGTCTCATGGCCATGGGGAATTCTGGAGCAAAAAAGGCAGCCCAGGAGTTTCTTTCAGACACACACAGGTTGCAAAGAGAAAATAAGGGCAGAATCATCATGGGATGAGTATCCAAAGCACAGAGGTCAGGGAATAACACTCAGGATGAATATTAGCAGGTGGTGCTGGGTTTACACCAGCTCTGTGGCTGCTCTCCTGTGCAGAGAAGATGCCTTGCAAACATCTGTGCACAAGAAAGTGCAAGGAGTTTCTTATCTCCATTAATGCACACAAACTCTTCTCTTTACCAACTCCCAGGACCATGCCCAACTAGGGGGAGACTTTTCCTTGGATCAGGTGAGAAGCACTCGGAGCAGGAAGGGAACAGCACTGCACAAGCTGCCTGGACCACTCACCTCTGTCGCCTCATCATTGGGATAGGTGTCAAGGAAAATAGCCAGTCCATGGAAGTTGTCCTTGCTGCCAAAGACAGGACCTGGAACAGGGCAGAACAGTGGAAAGACTCAGGAGGAAGTGAGAATTTGTGCTCAGAGAGTTCTGAGCTGAACAAGCTGTTCACAGCCAAGCAGGTGGCTGAGGGCACCTGCTGCCCGGGCAGAACACATGGGACACGTCACCCCAGCCTAGTGAAACTAGAGCGGGGAGCTCGGAGCTGTCCCTGCCCCGCTGCCCTCCGGGACAGGCCCCGAGTGCTGCGGACCAGCCGCTCCCGGCACCGACCTGGCGTCAGGCGTTCCTGCGTGTACCACAGCGCCAGCCCATCCCCGTGCAGGTTCTTCTTGCCGGCTCCGTGGATCCTGAAGTGGACGTGCAGCTCCCAGTCCTTGAGGAAGCAGGGCTGTGGGAGAAAGCCGCCCAGCGGCGTCAGGGCGTGGGGCGGCAGGGCCGAGCCGACCGCCGCCCGTCCCGCCCCGGGCTCTCACCACTCGGTTCCAGATGGAGCCCTCCCGACTGCGCTCGTCGGGCGTCAGGCGCACGTACTGGCTGGTGACCATGGTGCTGCCCGTGAAGTCCCACAGCGGCATCGCGGCGGAGCCCGCGCCTGCGAAGGGGAGAACGGAGCGCGGATCAGCCCGGGCCGCTCACGGGGCGTCCCGAGCGTTCCCCCGGCCCCGCGCTCACCCTGGTACGGCTTCATCAGCGAGTGCTCCCGCTTCAGGTGCTCGTTGTTGCCATCCGTGAGCTCGGCGGGCACCGGGCGCGGCCCGGCCAGGGCCAACAGCAGCGCGGCCGCCGCCAGCCCGCCCGCACCCGCCGCCATGCTCCGCTTCCGCCTCCCGGCGCCCCGCCCCCGGCCCCGCCTCACAGCCGCCACAGCCAATTACAAACCCGAACTCACCGAGGCCCCGCCCCCAAGCGTGAGTGGCAGCACTGCCCGCCTATGGCAGGGGGGAGGGGCGGGGCCAGCGGGGGCGCGCAGCTCCCGCTGTGCGGCGGGAGGCGGGAGGAGGGGCCCGAACGGGCTCCCGGCGCGCGGTACGCGTGCGCGGCGGCGCGGGGCGTGCCGGGAGATGTAGTCCGCCCGCCTTGCCCGGGCCGGCTCACGTGCGCGGCTCGTGCCGCCCGGCGGGTCCCGGGAACGGGAACGGGAACAATGGGCTGGGGAACGGCCCCGGGATGGGAACGGGGACCGGCCTCGGGAACGGCCCCGGGATGGGAACGGGGACCGGCCTCGGGAGCAATGGGCTGGGGAACGGCCCCGGGATGGGAACGGAGACCGGCCTCGGGAACAGCCCCGGGATGGGAACGGGGACCGGGAACGGGAACAATGGGCTGGGGAACGGCCCCGGGATGGGAACGGGGACCGGCCTCGGGAACGGCCCCGGGATGGGAACGGGGACCGGCCTCGGGAACGGCCCCGGCATGGGAACGGGGACCGGCCTCGGGAACAATGGGCTGGGGAACGGCCCGTGCGCCTCGCCGGGGCGCAGAGCAGGAAGGACGGGCCGAGGCCGCCTGGAGGTCGCAGCAGCTTTATTGAGGGTGGCCGGGCAGCTCCCGCCCCGCTCCCGCGGGTCTCCCCATCCCCATTCCTCCGCCACCGCAGCCGTGGTGCCCACGGAGCGGGATCTCCCAGCCCTGCGGATGGCACCTCCAGAGGTGCTGAACGAGGCTTTCCCCAGCCAGCGCCAGTCCCATCTTGCGGGAGCTCAGGGGGACGCAGCGCTCGGGTGCCTGGCGGTGTTGGGGTGCCCGGGGCAGTGTGGGGGTCACAGCAGCCCCTGCAGGGTGGGACAGCAGCGTGGATGGACAAGTCCTGGGCAGGTTCTCATGCTGGAGGTGTGCGAGCCCTCAGGACAGTGGGACTCGTGCTTCCCTCCAGCAGCATGGGGGGCTGCAGGGGACTCGGGGTGTGAGGAGCCCGTGGAAGCCCAGGAGGCAGGGAGAGGGGAAGCCGATGGATTAGTGGAAGGCTGGGTGGGAAAACATCCAAACGTGGCAGTCTGAGGCTCAGGGCCCAGCTGAGGCTCGGGGGAAGCCAAGGGACATGGGGGTTGGCCATGGCGTGGGGACCTGCAGCTCAGTCCCATCTGGCACTTTGCAGCTCTCACTTCTTCCTGTTCATGATCTGGCTGGAAATCCAGTTCATCCCATCCTGGAGGGAAGGAGGATGTGAGCGCAGGCCCTTGGGCCCTCTCCCATCTCCGCAGAGCCCACCGGCCCCCATCTCTACCTGCACCCCTTCCCCAGACAGGGCCGAGCAGGCCTGGATCTGCCACTCCCGGTCCCGGTAGGTGTGGAGGCTCAGCCCTTCTGCGATTTCGGCTGCGGGTGCTGCAGTCACCAGGTCCTGCTTGTTGGCAAACACCAGCAGCGGGACCCCCGTGAGGGACTCGTCCTCCGTGAGCTCTGCCAGCTCCTGCCAAGAGAGAAGCTTCTCCCAGGGCTGCTGCCCTCCTCCACGGAGCTGCCCAGCGTGGACTGGACACCTCAGCCCTCCAAATGCCCCATCCCTCCTCTCTGGTGCTCGTGGCAGATAAGGGAGCTGTGAGGTCTTGACATTCCAAGGGAGAGAAGCTCCTATAAGAGCTTCACCTCCTGCAGCTCCATCAGCCGAGGAGCCGCATGCAGGGCTACTTGAGGACTGAAATCCTCCCAGCACAGAGAGCCCTGAGCAAAGGGCAGCTGCAGGAGGCTCCTGGCAGTCCCGAGCTGTCTGGCATACCCACACCGCCGTCTGGTGCTGCGACAGCCGGGGCTGGCACTCCAAGTCTCACCTTCCCCTCTCAGAGCTTCATTCCCAGGGTTTGTAACTGAATTTGCCACTCATAAACCTTTGTTTGGCCATGTCACTAACCAGGTGCTGGGGGCTGGGAGGGATGAGGGCTGGGACTGAGGGGTCACTTTCACCAGAGACTGTCACCCCTGTGCTGGGCACCCTTGGAGCTGCTGGGCCATGGAGTGGGGTATCTCTGCCTGCTGAGATCTTGAGCCTTCCCACAGAGCTCTGGGGACAGCGTGGCCCCCCTGCAGCACTGCTCCATCATTCAGAGCAGCTTTGCTTCCCCCTCATCCCCAAAGAGCTGGTGCCATACAGATCCAAGCCCCAGGACCCCACAACCACCCCTCACTGGACCACTCATACCTGCCCTGTCTCCTCGAAACGCTTCTGGTCGGCGCTGTCAATGACATAAATCTGCCGTGGGGACAGAAAGGACAGTCAGGGGCTCCTTCCTGCCCAGCTGGGGCCCACACAGCATGCACAGGCCTGGGGGTGCTGCCCCACTCACCAGCAGGTCTGTGCTGCCCAGATACTTCTTCCAGTAGGGGCGGATGGAGCGCTGCCCCCCGATATCCCAAACATTCAGCTTCAAACCGTGCGACTGGACACTCTTGATGTTGAATCCCTGCGCGGGGACACAAACCCCGACGTCACCCAAGGGACAGGTGGGACCTGTGCCCTCCGCCGCCACCCGTGTCCCCCAGCAGCTCCTACCTGTGTGGGGGTGATGGTGCTGACCTCCTCGGACGCCAGGCGCTTCAGCAGCGTCGTCTTGCCCGCGTTGTCCAGCCCCAGCAGGACGATGCGGAGCTCCTGCTCCTGCTCCGGCGAACCCTTCAGCTTCTGGATGACGGAGAGCAGCCCCTGGGGGCAGGGGGTGCTAGGGGAGCCCTGTGGGGTGCCAGGTGGCTGCAGAGCACAAATAAGCACTCCCACTTGTTTGGGAGGGGGAAACTGGGCCCGCTGTTGGCTTTGGGTACTTTGTGTCTGTGGCCTGACGAGCATCAAAGCTCAGCTCCCAAAGTGTTCAGGCTCGGGGTGGCCCCACAGCAGATTTGCCCAGCCCCAATTCCGCCCTTCTCAGATGTGCTGTCCCAGCCCTGGACCACTCCCAGCTCCTGTGGGGACATGCCCCAGGCAGAGCCCTGCTCTGCCAACCCTCTTGGCACCACCACGGAGAGCTGGTGCTGCGCTCCCCGCTGCAGCCGGTGGGATGGCAGCGGACCCCTCTTACCTTCTGCACATCACCCATGGTCCGGGAGTCGCTCCGGCCCGCGGCACCGCCTGGGGAGCTGCCAGGGGCCCGTCCCCGGGGCCCGCCGGCGGCTTCGTGACTGGCACGCTCCCGGTCCCCGGGGGAGGAAGAGGATTACGGGCTCCGGAATTAGCTGCTGTTCCTCCATTTACCCACAGCATTAAATAATGCCCTCGGCAAATCCTCCAGCCAGCTGTCACCCCGCCGTCGCCTACCCCCAGGATAAACCAGGTCCCCCCGGGCTGGGCCACTGGGGCACAGGGCATCCCTCTCCCCTGGGGCAGGGCTCCAGCCTGGGAGGATGCCGTGCCCAGGCACAGGGCTGGCACAGCCTCCCACACTGGGATGCCTCACGTTGAGGCAACAGCAGCACCCACAAGCTGTCCCCTTCCTTGCAAGGTGCAGAAGAAATTGCTGAGCTTGCTTGAGGCCACGTCAGCGACTGCCACAGCTCCCCACTGGTGCCCAAGGGAAACCACCAGGCCCTGGAGCAGGTTGAGGGCTGGTTTGTCAGCAGCTGGAGCTTGAGGATGACACAGGACAGGGGTCCAGAGGGGCTCAGATACATTCTCCAGCAGCCCACCCCCAACCCTGGTGGGGTGAGGGGCTCATCTGTTCTCTGTTTGGATTAAGTGCATTAATTAAGCAATGTCTTTGATTCCTGCATGCTGCAATTCCGTCCTCAGATCAGGTTTCCCATCAGAGAGGTTATCCATGTGGTGAGGACCGTGAGTCACGCACTCTTGGAGAGACATTTTTATTTATAACTTTCGTGGCAAAGCCAAGCCAAACAACACAGCCACACTCCAACAAAGCAGAGGGGAGCAGAACAATCACCCCTCATCCCACTGCTGCCCCATGCAGTGGCAGGGGGCAGAGGGGCAGCCAGAGGTGCCACCCTCTGTTCCCCCCACCCAGAGACCCTGCCAGCCCTGCGGCTGCTTGTGGTGCTCTGCTTTTTTGCTTGCTTATTTCATTTTTTTCTGCATAGATATGCACCCAACTTAATGTTAGGGTTCTGCTTTTGATAGATTAATCACCCACCTTACATCCCCATTATTAGCATTTCCCTGAGCGGGTTGCCATGGTGCTCTGCGGTTTATCCTGCGCTGTTAGTTACTGAGATTTCCTAACAAATAACCTAAAATATCCTCCACTGGTTTGTGGTTGCTGATCAGCATGGAACCCCGACCTTAGGAGATGGGCAAAACTGCTTAGGCATCAGTTTGGTGACTCCAAGCTGCACGTTCACTGCTCCTCTCTGCCAGGTTCTGCTGGCACGCACAGAGCAGGCAGCTCTTCCCAAAACGTGGCCCTGGGGCCAGCCCCACACCCTCTGTGACCAGGGCAAGTGGCAGCGTGTGCTGGGCCTGCTGATGCCCCCCTGCCCCTGCACCCCCCTTCCCTGGGGTGATGTGATGGCTGGGAGGAGGAGAGGGACAACGGGTGGTGACCCCCGGGCAGCACAGCCGTGCTGGGAACGAGACTGGGGTGGGTTTGGGAACAGGGATGCAGATGGGGATGGGATCACGGATGTGGATGTGGATGGAGACAGGGACAGGGATGGAAACAAGGATGCAGATGGGGATGGGATCACGGATGTGGATGCAGATGGGGAATGAATGGGATGGAGATGGGGAACAGGGATGCAGATGGGAATGGGATAACGGATGTGGATGCAGATGGAGACGGGAACGGGGACAGGGACGGAGATGCAGCGGCGCCGCGGCGGCTCCCGGCCCGGAGCTGGCTCCGGTGTCCGCCGGGGCGGTGCCGGCGGCGCGGGGCGGGCGGGCGGCCCCGCTCCCCCCGCTGCGGTCTCGGTTCCCATGGTGACACTTCCTGTGGGAGCCGAAAGCGGTAGTGTGGCAGTGCCGGGAGCACCGGGCCGGGCCGGGCCGGGACAGCCGCGCCGCCGGCCGGGGATGCTGCGGGGCCGCGGGCCGCGCCCGTAGCGCGCCGGGCCGGGCCGGGCCGGGCCGAGCCAGGGATGCAGGGCAAGGGCAAACTGCTGGTGGTCCACAACGGGCGCATGGTGAGTGCCCGGGGCGGCGGTCCCCATCCCCCGGAGCGCCGGTCCCCATCCGCCGGGGCTGCCCCGCCCGGCGGCGCGGCGGGGAGCGGTACCGGGTGATGTGTGCGAGTGCAGAGTGTGGAGCGGATACCGGGCAGACAGAGGGATGTATGGAGTCAGAAACAGGCAGGGGGGAGGGTGTGGGGCTTCGGGGCAGGAGGGGCAGGATGAGTCTCCAAAGCAGGAGGGGTTTTAGGGCAGGCAGCGCTGTCTGGGGCCGGGTAACAGGCGCGTATGGGGCCGGGGAGCGAGCAGCAGGGTTTGGGAGGCTCGGACGGCGTTGGAAGGGGATGTGGGGCAGCGGGTGATGGACAAGCGGTGGCGGATGGGGATGGGGTCACAGCAGTGCTGGTGTCTGTGGGGTGGGCTGCGCAGGCATGGCATGGCAGGGCTGTGTGGGTGTGGGCAGCAGGGATGGATGGGGAGGAGCGAGGAGCTGGCAAGAGAGAGGGACGTGGGACTGGGTAAGAGACATGGCAGAGGGATGTGGGGTGGGGTACAGGGAAAGGCAGGGTTAGTGGGCTCGGGATGGAGACAGTCACGGGCTGTGTAGGGTGGGCGGGGGTGTGTGGGGCCGGCAGGATGGGGGGCACGGGCCAGCTGGGTCAAGGGCATCCCTCAAATGTGGGCACCACTTGAGTGTGGCCCCAAGAGTAGGTGATGAGGCACAGCACCATGCAGAGACTGCGTAGCTCGGCTTTGGCTACAGAGGCTCTGCCCGTCTCCCTGCTTGGCTACTCCACCCCCAGGGCTGCTCTCTGGGCTGGCCCAGCAGGTGCTGCAGGACACCCTGTCCTGCTGTGCCCTGGGCTGGCAGCACCTGGTCCCTGCTTTTGGGTATCTGCCCTCTGGTAGCTACAGGCTCCAAGGAAGGAGGGAACAGGCAGTTTGCCTGCTTGGGGCTGTGGTTCTCCTTCCTTCCCTCCCTTCCTCCCCTCCTCTTCCTGTGCCGTGGAGGCCGCTTCTCTCCTCCCTTCTTGTTTGGGGTGGCAGGGTTACATCTGCTAGCAGCTGCCCTTTCCCAGTTGCTGGCCTGGCCCTAGGCTGTGGAGAGGTAGGAGAAAGGCTGTAAGCCCTTTGTAACTCTCTCTTTGCTGCCCTGGGTTGGAATTCCTGTGTCCTGCCTGTGCCACAGGGCAGGTAACACCAGAGCAGTGTTTGCTGACAGGGTCTCTTGCTCTGGGCTCAGGCTGGGTTTGCCCTGGTGCTGCTGCCAGGCCAGCAGATGCCATGTAGCCCCTCTCACCTCTCTTCTGTCCCCTCCCACAGGGCCCGGCCGTGTCGGATGGAGGTAAGGCTGCTCTTTGCCCTGGGACGGGAGGCCAGCATCATCTTCAGGGGAGGGGGAAGCCCACAGGCAGCCTGGTGCCAGGGGCAGGGAGCCAGCAGACAGCAAGGTCCTGTGTCAGCACAGGCTGTGCCATGGGCGGGTGGCAGGGCCCCCGCAGGGTAGGCTGAGCCCTCTGCCCAGGACTGGCCTTGTTGCCCCATCCCTCCCACACAGCCTCCGGTGCCTGTCCCTCCTTTTGGCTGCTCAGCTGGCATTTTGGGGGCTGGGGGCTGGGTGGCTTCCTGGGGCAAGGAGAACCTGGGTACCAGCCAGCCCTAGATTCTCTGATGGAGTCTGTCTGTCTGTCTGTCTGTCTGTCTGCCTGTCAGTCTGACTGTGCACTGGATATCTCAGACAGTTTATTTAACTGTCTTGGCCCCAGTTACTCGTGGTTTAGACCACCAGGAGAATGAGTACAGGCAGCCCGGCAAAGGAGCAGCCTGACACACCTCCTCTATTCCTGCCAGCTTTGCCAGGAGAGCATTGCTTCCATGCCCTTCCCTTCTCTTGCAAATGACCCCCTGCTTCCAGCTGCACACCAGTCAAACCAGTTCCAAAGCTGGGGTTGCCCCTGGGAACTTCCATCTTTATGAGCACATGGTCACCCTGGGTTTCCCCAAAGTGGAGTTTCTTCAGGGTTGGGAGCTGGAAATTACACTTTCTGTGCCCTCCACATGCTGGGTTTGTCCCTCATCTTGGCCAGAGGAATAGAGAAAGTCGTTTCAGGCACCTCTGCTCATCTTCCAAGCTTCCCTCCACTCTGTGTGCCCTCTGTGTCCCCTTCCACTCCGCTTTCCCTGCTGGCTGGGTGCCTTCCCATGGCTGTCTTACCCCAGGAGATGAGTCACAGGTGGAGTTACTCAGGGTGGGCACAACTGCCAGCATTGAAAGGGAGAGTTGTCATGCCAGGAAGTGCCAGCTGTAGCATCCTGGTGCTCAATCCTCCATGGATGCCACCATGATGCTCCTCATGTTCCCTACCCAGCGCTCACCAGGTCTGATCCAGATGGGGCAGACGGAGGGCTGCTGGCATTGGGGGGTGACATTAGGGGACAGGGAGACAGCCAGAACTGACCCTTTTTCTCTCTCAGAGTTAAATGCCTCCCGGGCCCGTGGCAGCAACCACAGTGTGAACAGCCTGCCAGGCCCACCAGCCACGTGTGGATCTACCCAGGGCTCTGTGGTCAGCTGGGCCGAGTCCTTCGAGACGCTGCTGCAGGACCGTGTGGCTGTCACCTACTTCACTGTGAGTGTCACATCCCAGAGCTCAGCCCCTGCTCCTGTCCACTCTTGGACACCAACTGTCCCACAGCCACAGTGCCACCAGAGCAGCAGATCTCTCTGCCCTGCAGGAGTTCCTCAAGAAAGAGTTCAGTGCTGAAAACGTCTACTTTTGGCAGGCGTGTGAGCGCTTCCAGCAGATCCCAGCCAGTGACACACAGCAGGTACCAGCTCTGTGCAGCTTTGCTCACACAGCTGCTGGGAGGGATGTGGGCAGAGCTGTCCAGCTGCATGTTCAGAGGTCCTGGCAGACCCCTTTTCTGTGGGGGTGAGCAGGCTGGAGGTTCTTGCAGAAGGAATAAGGAGATGGAT